TCACTCTACTTAGAGAAATCCCCCAAGAGTTGTTATTTTAACATCTTCTATGAATTGATCATCTACCTTAGAGATTTAATCAAATTTCCATTTTCACCATTTGTCTGCAGTATATTCAAGACGCATCGATTGTTGTACGGAATGTCTATATTTAAATTTAGCACTTTAGAACAGTTTATTTCAAACTTCATGCAGATGAACTCCATGAAAATTGAATAGTGCCACAATTAAATGCTAGAAATTTCTTCCAGAAAAAAAAACAGCACTGAAAGGCACATTTTCTGACAGTTTTGTCTACCAGATCCCCAGACTTGAATTGTTGCGGCTTTTAGCTGTAGGAATATACCTCCTAGACTTTAGTTTACTATGATTTCTTCACATCTGCGTCCAGATTTAAAGACTTTTTTGTCTTTAAGTCTGGAAAGACTTTTTTGTCCTTTGCAGGTTAAAAACGAGTACTCGGATTAAAAGTTGATTTCATGGTCCAGATGTTAGAGGACAATTGTGGACATCATATTGAGCATGTTAATTTAAACAGGAGAGCGCTTAAATTTTGTAGATTTTGTCATGTTTTGTCTACCATGACATGATAGCTATCTAATTGCATTTTTGTAGCTGAATGTAATTTTGTTAGCCAAAGTTCCTACTACTTCATTATGTTTTAAAGAAATTTTGATGCAGTTCTGGAGAGAATATTTTGATTGAGGCATCAACTTCAATGATAGGATCCCTGTACTTAACTTGCAGTAGTGGGGTTGAACCTACGAAACCCACAATCCTCTCATTCTCCACTGTTTGAGTCAGTAAAAAAAAACTTATGTTTCTTAATCTCAACAAATCGTAACAATTAATCATGCACATTTGCCCTGTATGCCCTACATTGATGTTTTTTTTAAGGTTAAGTGCCACTGGCCGTTATACATTTGGCCGGAAAATTCAACACTGACGAGTGCCTTTTAAAGTTAACTGACTTAAAAGAAATTAAGAAATATGAATAGTTATGCACATAAATGCCAGCTGTTTTTAGTTTCAAATAAAGATGCATATTTTTAAAAATCATCACAAACTACATTCAACATGTTATAAGTTTATTATAGTGATATCTATACACTGTTGAGGAAATATTTAAATAGTTATCACATACTAGTGGGAAAAACATTGTTACGAGATCTTAAAAGACCAATACAAACAAAAAAATTCAGAAATACAGTTTTAACTTTAAAATCATGTATTTTTGTTGAATTTCTTTTGCTTCATTTACTAAGCTCAGTTGCAGACGTATACCATAAGATTATATCATCACTTAGAATGGTACAATGACATAATGAATAAATGTTACAAACACAAATTCAGCATATATTCAGATTTTGTTTTAAAATACGCATACGCATGAAGATTTTACACATTTATTTTTATTATTTCGATAACGGAATAATAGTGGTACTCTACTTGAACGAAATTGCATAAGGAGTGTCACATAAAATTATTAAACTAAATTGGTATTATATTAACTCGAAATTTCAGATGACACACTCTGCATAAAGAATTTAAAAAAATGGAGTAGTATTTAATTTGGTTATATACATTAAATGCAGCATTGAATTTTAATAAAATATCTTTAAAGTACATAGTTAAGAGCTTGTTTTATCTCAGAAATCCATAGCTAAGAAGTTAATTTACTTCAGGAATGCTTAGCTGAGAACTTATTGTAGTTCTGAAATGCACAGCTGAGAAGTAAGAACAGAAATTAAAAGGCAATTTTGTTTTTAATATCATTTATAAATTATTGCTTTAATAAAATTTAATATTTATTGCTCAAACAATGCGAAATTTCTCTACAATTATCCCATTTAGAGTTAATTTTACAGGCGCATCAGCTCGATTTACATTCTTCTTCTTTAACAGATCATAAAATATACGTATTTCCGTAAACTGAATTGTAGTAAAATTGTACAAGTTCAACTGTTACTATCTTGCCCTTCGCATCAAGATATAGTTTAACTGCATTAAAAATGTTGGAATAAAATTACTATAAATTTACCATACATGATGTATTTTTAAGAACAAGAATAAAAAATTTAAAAGAAGGCTTTCATACTTGATCTAAATTTCCCTGGTTGGAGAATAATTATAGAAGAACTGTATTAGCTACTGCCTGAATTTTTATCAATTGCATTGTACTTTAAAATATTGATTTTGTATTTTTCGACACTCAACTTTCTCTTTCAATCAAAGAAAGTAGTTAGAATTGATAACTGCATGGTAAATTTGCCGCAGCTCAATAACTTTTTCTAGCCTATAAACCAGTATCGAGCAATCAATTTAACCAACATTTAAACCATTACCGCCCAATCGATTATCTCAGTATTTAAACTGTAGCAATTTGAGCATACTGCATTGTCTTTTCATAGAAACTGCAGTCTTTTTTTATAATGCATAGTATCTTAGTCTCTTTTATAATGCATAGTCTCTATATAGAAATGCATAGTCTTTTTTACAATGCATAGTCTTTTTACAGACATTTTCATAGAAAATCACTTATTTAATTAAATTTCAGTGTTCTTATAATAGAGCATAATTATTATATTTAAGATTTAAAAAGTCTGTTGCTTAAATGATCACTTTTAATCTCACAATTTCTAACCCATAAATTTCAATTCATGTAACAATCAAGATATTATTTCATGAAAAACCTGTAGTTTAATGATGTTATTTGAAAAAAGCCTCTTTGATGACTTAAAAATAACAAAATTCAAGATAGTTTTTAATCCTAATTGTTCCGATAAGGAATAAATGAAATGGAAAAAGAAATGCATGAATTTATTCTTTTATAATTTAGTAATAGTTTTCTTTATTCATAAATCTACTAATTAAGTAATATCAGTTATAAAAAGCAAATCTTTTTGAATGTATTTTTAATTTACTTTGATCTCTGAGAAAAAAAAATTTGAAGGGATTATTTCATGCTTTATTAAAGTATTTGATATTAACTCATTATTTTTTTAAAATCTTACAATGCATCTGAAAAAGGTGTTGAAAGATAATTAATTAAATATTAAGTCTGTGAAATTCATGTATAACTAAATTCATTAAAGTATAATATGCATATTAAGTGTAATTAAAATTTTAAAAACTGATATAAAAATTTACGGTAAACCATAAATGGTAAACTCTTTTTTTAAAATATCTTTTTCCATTATAATTTCACCAAATAGTTTAATTATTTTAACTTTTTTCTTACTTAGAAGGAAAAGTCAAATATATATGTTTTGCTGTGAAATGAATAAATAATGGATATTTTAAAATATTTTCTTTTTCCATTGACTATTTTTAATTACTTTTCTGAATTAACCAGCGAAAGAAACGCGAAAAAATATATTTATTGAACTTCTTCGATAATTAATATATTTCTGCGTCGTCCATACTGTAAGAAATTCAGAATCAAATTACGGTATAAAGTACCGGCACTTTGGGTGGATCATCCGTAAAATCGATTTTACCGTAAATTATTATACCGTAATTTTTACTGTAATGTTTAACTGGATTGATTTAAGGATTTTACGGTAATTATTACTGTAAAAATTACTGCATCTCAAATTTTTGTTCCGTAACATGTTCCGGTAAAAGTGGATTTTATGGTACAAGTAATACGCACGAGTGCCAGTACTTTTTACCGCAATTTGATTCGGAATTTTTTGCTGACTTTTTTTCCTTGCTTTTTTGAAGTACTTATCGGCGAGAAGGACTATGTGTTTGTGACTGCTTTTTTGAGTTAAAAATTAGTATTTTTGTCATATTTTTGACACATTTGTTGACTTCGAAATTTGTATTTTTTCTTCGTTTAAATTATAAAATAATTATTTTAGAGTCTTTGTGGTTCTTTTTTAATCTTACCTTGAAACTGATTGACAAATTTGCACCTTACAATATTGTTATTCCTTTATCCACTCACTTTATCTATGACTAAAAAAATGTAATAAAAATTTTGCGTTAAAAAAATTTATAAATTGATGTAAATTGATATTTACATGAGAAGAAGAAATATTAAAACTTAACGAATCTTTTTTTGAGATCGTTAAGTGCAAAATAGGAAGGAAACCAACCAAAAACACTTTTTGTGTGGAATGACGTTAAAAATAAGGCTCTAAAGAATTGATGAACGTTTTTAATTACCATCCGACAAATAAACTGCTTATTTAATGATACTGATCCCATATTTTCTGCGTTTGACCTCGATTAGGGTATTTTGAAAACGCTTGGATTTTTTTTCTCTTTAATATTTATTTACAATACTTACTGTTCACGCATTTACTATAAGTCCGATGATTAAAAAAACTCTGTTCTCTAAACGAGAAAAAATTTTACATTTTAAGTTTTACTTGTAGTTTACTAAAATTAATGAAAATAGTTAAATATAACATTCCCATCCGACAAATAAACTGCTTATTTAATGATACTGATTCCATATTTTCTGCGTTTGACCTCGATTAGGGTATTTTGAAAACGCTTGGATTTTTTTTCGCTTTAATATTTATTTACAATACTTACTGTTCACACATTTACTATAAGTCCGATGATTAAAAAAACTCTGTTTTCTAAACGAGAAAAATTTTGCATTTTAAGTTTTACTTGTAGTTTATTAAAATTAATAAAAATAGTTAAATAATAACTTATAACTCACGGTAATTTTTCTGTTTAGCCAAGACATTACTTTAATTGATGTTCAAATTTCTAACATCAAATAAAAATATATTGTTTACTCTTTTTTATTGAAGTAATAAGCAAAGTACCATACTAATTTCTAATAGATAAAAGAAATCAGTCTAAAATCCAAAAATTGTATCCCATTAAATTTTTTTTTCGGTAAGACGATAATTAATAACTATTTTAAAAGGTTTTAACACAAAAATCTTGCAGTGATTAGTCAAATGCAGTGTATCTACATAAAATATTTATATTTCATTCCATTCTAGTCTACTAAATGAATATGTTGCATTGTATAGTAGAAAAAACACCATTTAATATGATTCAACTGAAGCTCGATCTTCCATAGACGGTTTCCACTGTCATTATCCAAAGTGCTCACACATACAGGAAGACGATTTCTGGTATACAACAAGAAAATATGTGCATGAATTGTGTCTTTATAGTGCACTAATAATTTGAAAATGGAATGAAGCAGTCGAATAACATAAAATTTAAATATCATACATAATAAAACAGTTTTGTATAGAAAAAAAAGCAAAACAACAACATATATAAAGTTGACGAATATTCATACTAAAGTTAATTTCACTACAATTTTTACAAATAGTAATTTCACCGATACATTTTCTTTGTGCTGATACACAGTATAGCCATTAATCACTTAAATATTTAAGGTTTGAGTAATGCGAAAAAGAAAAGTTATAAGGAAACGAAATCCTTACTTTTTCTGTTCAATAAATGTTTGAAGTACTTATGTAGACAATGTTGGATACCTTCGCTAGGACTAGTGGTATCTTTGGTAAACAAAAATCAACTTACTATTTATTTGTTTAACATGTTTCACAATCTAGATTATGCTTCAAGTTGAGAAACAGTTAATCTTTCTTTTACTAGAACCCATTTTACTGCCAGGTTTACAATAAAACTCAACCTTAGGTGGTGGAAATCTTTTCAACATTTTAATGCATTTTTGAGAAAATACATTGATCTAAATATTCATCACTTAAACTTTCTGTTTTTTCATTTACTTAAAGAAAAATATAATCACTATGTGACACTTTGTCACATCACAATAAAAGTTATCTTCAGTCTTTTTCTAAGTGAAGTGAACATTAACCATGACTAGATTAATTGCAGTTTCCCGTGATCACTTGACAACGAAGAGTGATAGGTTGTTACACATAATATGATACTTTAAAGTGTAGATGTTAAGCTTTAGAAGCAGTTTGATAAATCGCCAGCATAACCACTGAAAATTATTTAACTTTGATGCTTTCTATAATATACAAACTGAAATTTTTGTACCAATGTACCAAATATTTTAAAAACTGAGAAAAATATAGCTGAAGTAGTATGGCACAGAGAGCTACTAGCTACTGCCCTTAGAGTTCGTCTTGAACAATTGTTTTCCTCATTGAACTTTTAATTGATTCTTTGAACTATAGATATATTCTCGGAACTATAGATTTCCTTCTAAACGTGACTTGAACTCACGATTCCTGGACTGGAATACACAGAGATAGATGTCCGGAGCTATAGATTTCCTCCCAAACATGACTTGAACTTGCGATTCCTGGACTGTAGTACAGTAATAACCATCATTCTATTAAAATATTTTTCTCAATTATGAACGTGGGTAGTTCCAAATATGTTGTTCATGCTTGATGCTTAGTAACTCGTAATTTATGTATTAAAACAATCTCTTGATTCGACATCTGTGATTTAAAGCAAGCTCGAACGTCGATAGTTCAAAATCCTTTAGAGATACATGGCTAAAAATGTTCAAAAGTTTATAGTTAAAGATCCATGATTCAAAATGAGTTCGAAAGTTAGAATGCTATTTGTGGTTCAAGACGAGCAGATGTTAGTAGTTTGTAACTATGAGTGAGATACAACTGCAGACCTAAGACTGTATGTAATTAAATAATTTTTAAATTCAAACTGGTATAAACGGTTTCTAGTAGAATTATAAAAACAGGATATAAATAATCAGACTTAAGAGTTTGAATTTCATTAATGACATATTACTTGTAGTAAAACTGCATTGGTTATAGTTAAACTGCATCAGAGAAAAAAAAAACAGTACATCTGTTTACCGCTTGTCCGTTGCTATCACTTCATATTAGCGCAGAAGCATCATACAGTTTAGCTTCATTCACATTCTAATACGCACGAGCTCTTAAAAACGCAATGTATTCAATTGCCAGTTATATAACTTCTTAGTACACTAAAAAATCAACACGAACATGCTGACGTTTAAATTCAGTGTCACTTAAAAAATATAACACCAAGAAAAGTGTGAGAGAAAGCGACATTGTTTTCTTCTTATAATGCTCCCTCTAGTTTGAAGAAACAAAAAATAGCATTTTTTTTATTTGAAATGGTGACCCATTTAATGTCGTTTTCTGGCATTGTCTCTTCTTTGCCTTTGTGAAATAAGATTTCTTAATTTTTGAAGATTATTTTGTGTAATAGGATCATCTGGTCTTAATCTCAAAGCTTCCAAGTAAGATTGTTCTGCTTCTTGAAGTTTGCCATTCACGTGAAGCATGGCTCCTAAGTTCATATGACTGGTGACTTCCTGCAAAGCACAAGAATAACTCATTAGTATTACTTTCAATGGTATGTTAGTGACAGTAGTTTGAAGGTATAGGGGAAGGTGGTGTAATACTGGGTGGCTAAGATTCGATGGCCTGTAGGACCGAAACTCTTCCGCCTAGAAACTGTCTGATTTAACTAAGATACGCATTGTTTTGTTATGTACAATATATCATTCTCGAAAAGTCCTAACATGTACTACTTTTTATAAAAGACTTTTTTTTTCAAGAAAAAAATCAAACCACTCGATTTTACCCCAAAGATGTGCTAAATTCGGGTACACATGCTCACTCTGTGGGAAATTTAGAAACACTAGAATTTCAGTGGAAAAATAGCAAACAATTCTATTTCAAATAACAATTTAAGAAAATTATGTATGTAATGTACATATGATGTAGTCAAGGCCATACTCAAGAAGGAGGGGAAATTGTTTAGGGGCTCGGAAAGGCTGAAGGCCAGACCGAAATTCTTTACCAAAAAAGTAATTGTTAATGTTTTTCAAAAGAAAGTGGCGGATAATTTTCCTAAATTCATACTACGATTTTGTATAAAGACTTTTTGTGCTTTAAGGAAGGAACCCACAATAAATTTTGTCCTGAGGTTCGTAAAACCTTTCTTCACTTCTGGATGCAGTTATCTTCTTCTTTCTCTGCACTGTAGCTTACGAGGACCGAACATAGACACATAGCAAAGGGAGGAGGACTCCGGACTGGGTAGTACATGGCTTTACCCCACGAACAGAACTTATCTTAACTAAACAGTACAGCGCTACTTATCGGGTTAAATCCTTAATGTTTGTTAAGGTATGAATTTTAGTAAGCTGGATTAAAAATAATTTTTATAACTGTAATGACCAATAAAAAAGGATTGCTTAAAAACAAGCGAACATTAGAGAATTAACATAGTAAAACAAACACAAGTTTTGAATTAATCAATTACAACACGCCAATGTGGGAGGTTATTCTTGTCGATAAGTTAAATTAATTAAGTGCAATTCAACATTTGACCTCAGGAAAACAGAACTAATTTCGCAAAACTTAAGGTACCTAGTTTCACCCCACTCCCCCTTATGTAAATAACACTTTACAAATAAGAACACTTTTACAAATAAAACCTTGTTGGTATGATGTAAGAAATATTTATATTTGAAACTATTTTATGAGCATTCGTTATTTTATAGTAAAGATCACGTGCAAACCATATTGTGAATGCGCCGTTTTTAATGTTCAATTTTAAACTTATTGTACTAGTGCACCTGACTCGGAAGACAAAGGAACCCTCGAGGCAAAAATTAAGACCATCATATAAGCTATTTCATTGTGTTTCTAATGATGAGCAGCCTGTTCAAGTAATCGTTGAAAGTCAACTCCTTCACCAAAATATTATAATTTTTTCATAAATGAACAGAAAAAAACATTTAATTTGATTTTTATTCTTAAAAAACAAGTAATTTTTTGGATTCAAATAAAAGGTATGCAAATGTTTTTCTAATTAAATTTTTATTTTAATGTAAATTATATTCGTATTTTAAAATAACTGCTTTGTTTAAAATAAGTAAGTCGGGTAGCAATGGTGTACAAATAAAAAATTAAAGCTCCCGATTTAAAATCTGAGGATTGTTTTTTTTTTTAAAAAAAGCTTAAACAGCTTGAAAAAGGAGGATTATTGACAATGTCAAACTTCATGAATCAAAAGCTATTCCCCTTGTGTTTGATCAAGACTGAATAGCAACAGCGTGAGAAGCACAATGTCGCAGTCACATATAGCAAGTCAACTGTTCACTATGTTCTATTTATCAAATTAGACGTGTTCATTTCAAGATGAGCGTTTCTATCGAGGTTGGCGGGTTCAGATCACGTGCGGTACTTAAGGTATCAAAAGATATCCCTTAGACAGAATTGAGTTAACGCGTCTTATATACTGGCGAATTGGGATTGTATTATTGTAGTGGTAGTTACACTACATTACTCTTCCACCAGAATTTTATCTGGGGATGATTAGATATCACTAGTTGATTTTATTTTATTTTATAACCGTCGTTGAACAGCCGACCCAATTTCATGGGTTTACGACTACTTACGTTCAACTCCGTAGCCTTGCAATTTTGAACCAATCCAGAAGACAAGGAAACTCCTGGATCAGTACCCCCAGAGGTATTGATTTGTTGTGGGAACCTGGAGGACTTTGAGACTCGACAGATTTAACGTGCATCAGTCACCATTTACTGCACGGGGAGTCTTCGGCCGGCGAGGATCGAACCCACGACCTCTGGATATGGGCCCAGCGCCCTACCGACCAGGCTATCCCGGCCCCCTCACTAGTTGATTTATTGGAGTTTTGCAAAAGACCAAGAGAGGCGTATTAAGTTCACAGGATTTTGAGCGCTGGTGATGAGAGCTATATTAAATTCATCGCACACTTGAATGTGGATCATGAGAGCTATATTAAGTTCACGGTAGTTTACGTGGTCACTCCTGTGTTGATATTAGCAGTAGAGTGCGTACAAGTTTCAACGGTGTGTGATCCAGACTGAGTAGCATGTCGCAGTCACAAATATCAAGTCAACTGTGCAATGTGTATCATCCATCGAAGTAGGCGTGTTTAAATCGAAGTGGATGTTGCTGTTAAGATAGGCTTGTTCAGACCACTTCCGAAAGTCACCAACGTGGTTATAACACAGTTATTAATTACTCTGTGTAATATATAACACATTTAATAAAGAATAATACTCAGACACGAACAAGAATATTACCGCGACACCATCGCGTGTGTCGTTGTTTTCTACCCGATTTTTAGTTGTTGTCATTCCAGTTTTTACAAGCTTTTTCGAATTAATGTATGAATCGCCACATACTAAACATTATCATAAGAACTGACGCAGCATTAATGTAGCAGTTTTGAATCCCAATGATAAAAAAAAAAATTCCTATTGTAAACAATTTTTTTTAGACGGTGCTTCATCGGGAAATCCCCTTTTCTGTCGAAAATGATTTTGATTTTCGGATGTGTGTACATATTTGTGTTATGATGTTAATTTTTCAATTGTCTCTTGTTAGTAATAATGAAACTGCCCTCTGTTTTGTCTTTGATTTTTTTTTTAAAAAATGAGTATAAGTGGAAGATGAAGTGTTGAAAAATCTGAACTTCAATCCAAAAAACTGTTTCCTGTTAAGACAAGAGTCATCTTGACCCTAAAGTAGACATATTTAATAAGGAATCGAAATTTCCCAAATCTCATGTAAATGCCCTTTGAAAAGTGTTCATCTCCAATACTTCTNTGTCGAATAACACCAAATATGTCGGTGAAAGATCGAATATTTCATTACATTCTTGTACATTCGGACCCTCACCGGTGTATCCCGACAATCACAGATATGCTTTGGTGAATATCCAAAATATTTATTACATTCGATTTGATAAGAATTTATTCGTGGATATAATTACATTTATTAGATATTTTGACCCTACACTGATGTTTTTTTAAGGTTAAGTGCCACTGCGGGTATACCCTACACTGATGTTTTATTAAGGTTAAGTGCAACTGACCAGTATACATTTGCCCGGTATACCCTACACTGATGTTTTTTTAAGGTTAAGTGCCACTGCCTGGTTTATATTTGCCCGGTATACCCTACACTGATGTTTTTTAAAGGTTAAGTGCCACTGCCTAGTATACATTTGCCCGGTATACCCTACACTGATGTTTTTTAAGGTTAAATGCACTGCCCGTTATACATTTGCCCGGTATACCCAACACTGATGTTTTTTTTAAGGTCAAGTGCCATTGCCCGGTATATATTTGCCCGATATACGCTACACTGATGTTTTTTTAAGGTCAAGTGCCATTGCCCGGTATATATTTGCCCGGTATACGCTACACTGATGTTTTTTTAAGGTCAAGAGCCATTGCCCGGTATATATTTGCCCGGTATACGCTACACTGATGTTTTTTTAAGGTCAAGTGCCATTGCCCGGTATATATTTGCCCGGTATACGCTACACTGNCTATATCCATTATTAAAATAATATTTCATTTGATTCTGATGATTCCTTCATGGTGTTGCATTTTCTACAAACAGCAGTTTATATATATTATGAAATGGACATAAAAGCCGTTTTAAGTTTGTGAGCTGACTACTTTTATTATGTTTTGTTTAAAGTAGATGAATTTCCAGAGGAACTTCATTTTGAAGATAGTGGTAAATTCGTTGATTTCACCATTTATTTTAAAGTCGATATGGTGCCACGTTATGGTTTTTTACATGGTACAACATTGCTAAACGTATTTACATGTTTCAAATATATATCAAATAAAAGTGCAAATAAATATCACAAATTTTTAGCTACTTTTTTGGTTTAATGCAGTTAGAGTGAACTTACGTTTGGTTTTAACTTTACTGCTACCAAATAAAAGGTTTCAGCTTCAGCATTGCGTCCGGCTTGCCTATATAGGAAAAAATTTGCTTAGAAATACATTTTATTTAAAATATACGTATGTATTCTTAATAAACTTGTGATAAACTTTAAATTTCGTGATATAAAAGTACTTTGAGTGATTGAAACAATCAATATTGTTAGTATATTTTTCGTTAATTTATTTATATTTTTTTGAAGTAGCAGCTGGGGAAAATGTTGAATGAAGTGAAATGTTGAATGTTGAGTGGAAATATTGTAATAAATGAGCACACAGATTTTAAAACATATAATTTAATTTGATTGTTTTATTTGCCTATAAATGGAAACATACCATGCTGTATCCTCCTGATTGCGCATTAACATTACGCATGAGATTTTTTTTAACCTATGTGCTATTTTTCGAGAATCTGTTAGAACATAAATTGCTAATGCATGCAATTTGTATGACTGCAAAGTGTACTTGTTAAAATTTTTCTGGATAAAGATGATATAGCGAGTTGGTTTTTAAATTATTATCCAGCACTACTAAAAATAAATAGTCTTTAATGTTTTACAAAATATTTACCAAAATCAAAATTAAAAATATTGTAATCTTTCATGCCATTATAGTCATTACACATTTCCTAACTTTTTACTTTAAATTAATTCTTGAATTGTTGTTTAATCCTCAAAAAGCCTTTTCTTCAAGAAAACAACTAACTTTTTTTAAGGAGATGCAAATGAGTGAAAAGAAAATTCTGGAAATATATATTCTTTCGATTACTGCCAACGCATTAACATAAGAAAACAAGTCCATTAACAATTTGCCACCAATTTGTAACTTTCATTAAGTTTTATTTTTCTCCAAATTATTTTAAACTTGACAATTTTTTAGTAGATTGGCTTGATTTTTGATTAAGTACGTTTCGATAAGTCACCAAGTAATGATATAATTTTAATAAGTCTCCAAGTTTCTTTACTGAGAGGTCACAGCTTTACCGTCACTTTAACAAACTTTTGATCGCTCGGTTATGTGAAAAATTGCTTCGTTTTTCCAAGGAACTAATCAATATCTTCCCCATGCACATTTTTTTTTCTCTAACTAAAAATTTTGATTATGACAAAAATTTTTATCTCAATTATTGAAACTAGGCAAAGTGTTTTCGAGTTGACTAGTTTGTGCTTGTCCTCATTATATAATATAGTATAATTAAATAAAAGAGGCGTCCATTAAAACGTCATATGATTTTTTCATAATCTAATTACTTATCTATGAAATTAATTTAATTACTTACTTATGTAATAATACATACTACTTAACAGTGATTAATGATTTCCAATGGCAATTTCTCACCTTCATATTCACCGTCAAATTTTCGATAGACGCTAAATTCAACTCAGATTTTCCCCAGCTTTTTTTCCAAGATAAGTAAATTTCTCATTAATTGATGAAAAATACTTTCGTATTGATACTAAAAAAATATGTTGTAAAATTTTATGAAATTTTCGAAAAGAATTTTTTTTTTCATTGTTGTCTAGGAATTCTGCTGTCTAAAGTTATCTCTAAGTAATGAGAAACCTCGTAGCAATATTATTAAAGAAATTTTAATTTTATTATATCACAGTATGTGAAATAATCTTCTTATTAACATTGCATTTTATTACGTTCAGTCAATAAATAAAATTTCAGAGGCTATTTCATACATATAATGACTATCCATACATGCTATTTCATACATATAATGAAACTCAAAAGTATTGCCTACAGGTGTTTAGACATTTATCTCGTTGTAATACTAGCCCTACAATGCAAAATTGTAACATTAGTTATGGCTTCTGTTTGGAATAGTTATACAAGTAAATCTCGTCGTCTCTTTCAAACCGATTTTCAGGCATCAGTTTCTTTAGCTCATCACTTAATAGACGTCACGTAATGAGCACTATCTCCTTAATGTTTCTGGGTAAATTTTTCTCTCAACTTTCGTTTATATTCGTAACCAGGAAACAGGTTCAACCGGTTTTGTTCCGGTACGAGATTTGCTTGTTTCTTTGTGTGAAAGGGACAAGCACGCCTTTAAAGGGGCAATTGTTTTGACTTAAAACGTTGTTGCAACTATTTACGGTTTGGCTATGCCTCGCTTATCTGTTAACTTTGAAAAATGGAAGCATGATTAGTTGTCCATGGGAAGACACGTGGAGATAGATCTGAACAGTGAAGTGAGTGGCTCAGAACTAAAGAAAATGTTTTATCGTCTTGACTATGAGTTGTCTAGTATCGTCATGCAAGAGGGTGACTCTCTGAGACAGTTAACTTGGATTGTTCGATTTGAAAATCTTCATAAGATTTGTTTACAGTTCCAAATACCTCTGATCATTGTTTATAGCTACATGAAATCGACGAGGAACGGTCCTTAGTAAACGATCCTACCAAGGAAAAAAAAAAGAAAGAAAAGGAATGACAGCAGCTCGCTTATCCACCTTTTATCATCGCTTGCATAGCAATTATTGCCAACTAGCATGTGAAAACGTGAATCTCTTAGATCTCAACAGCAACTAAATTTCTGGCTCCTTTTCATTTTTTCGCACCTCATATTTTTGGTTTAACGTCATCTTCTTCTTTGTTTACTGACTTCACCTAATATTATAATAGTTTCATTCATTCCCTGCCATTTCTGTAAAACATTTAGGTACTAATTTTAGACTATTAACTGTTATATGAAAAGACAATATAAACAGCAAATTATACTTTATTATCAAATAAAAAGAAATTGTTTCTCGTTACAAAAGCAAATTATCATGACAGCTGTATTTCATTTTAATAATACAAAATTATTGATCGAATGATTGCAAAAGATTTTACTCTTTTACTATAATATTAACAAAAAATTTATTCATTGTAAGAAAATCCTTAAAGCAACTTATCTAGGGAAAATTCATCTGCGATCTCGAAAATGCATCGAACCATAAGTTCTTGTTCGATAAACTTATATATTTTTTACCCGTTTGAAATGCTGAAATCATTCCCTAGATCTCTGAGCGTATTTTTTATTTTTTTGTGTCTGAAATAGATTTTGAATTTAACTTTAAACCGAGTGCGCTTCATAAAATGCCATCTTCTGGGAACTTAGCGTAACGAGCATTCGTTCGTAATATAGTTTACGAATTCAATTTGCATTTATTTCTATGATACTGAATATTTTATTCAAGAAAATCTGCTACTTAGGAAAGAAAATGCATTGTATAAAAGAATGATATTCTAAAAAACTGAGAAAGGATTTTTATTACCATAAAGTTAGTTTTATAACGTACACATTTAACTTAATGACAAAATTTACTAGCTTGGTGTGGTAAGAAAATGACTGTAAATATCTAAAGTTTTGTTGCAACTTACCAACAAATTTTGGGGACGCGTAAGCATCATTACTCATTCAATGTGGCTTAGAGCTATTACGTCTTTGGGGAAAATATGACGAATATTATATTTTATTACAGATTTTGTATTTTATACGAATATCAACAGATATTTTTTGGTTAAAATAGCAGAACTTTAAATACTTTAAAAACTTCAAATGCAGTAAAAAAATGCTTGAATCATTCAATACTAAGTCCAATTATGCATTTAAGCTCCTGTAAAAATTCTTTTCATATGGAAGTGTTCTTGTTCAATTTTGTTGGCAAAATAGATAACATAATCCTTTTAAGGTATGTCTAGCTCTTTAACACTATATCTAGCGATTGGAAAGAAGGATTGTTTTTATGTTCAAAAGAGATTATGCATAAAATCATGCAAAAAGTGCAAATAAGAATCAATAATTATATCACTGCTCTAGTTGATGTTATGCAACCGTATTAATGATTTAATTAAACAACATCACTGGTTGAACATTATCGATAAAGTCTAGTGTCCTTTGAGTTAAGTATGAGTTAAGTATGCCTAGACCTTTAACAGTATGTCTAGTGATAGGAAATAGGGATTGTTTTCGTGTTTTTAAAGGATTATGCATACAATCATGTAAAGAGAGTAAATAAAAAATAATAATTGCATCTTTTCTCTAATTGATTCTATACGACCGTATTAATGCTCAAAACAAACAACATCATTAGTTAAACATCGTCGAGAAATAAATTGAAGACAGCAATCAAATGTTCTGAAATTTTTTTAATATAACTCTACGATTTATATTTTATTACTTTTTATCCTCATTGTAGCTCAGTTGTAAGTTTTATTTTCTAATTAAACATTTAATGCGCAAAGGCTTTATTATCTCAATCATTTTTCTGACAACATCTTACTGAATATTTAAATATATGTTAAATGTGTGCAGAAAAAAATCAAATAAAACTTTCATTCTTATTTTTTATTTGTGTTTTCCTACTTGATTAAATTTTGAGGAAAAAAAAGGGAGAATGAAATAAGTTAAATTTATTTTTATCAACTTACCTTAGAGTATTTGCAGCATTAAACACAATTTCGTATTCGTCCATAGCAAGCTCTGCAGCACGTACGTAAATATCTGCCGCTTCATTATGCCTCTCACACTCAGATAAAAATTGACCTAAATTAGGAAAACACACAATTTAAAAATAGTTCAATTAAAATTATGCATTAAACGTAAAATCAATTATAATAATAATCAATATTATTATACTAAATTAGTAAATCCATAATAATGACTATGTCATGGAAGAAAAATACCATATATTTGCTGTTCTTTTAATAAAAAAATTTTTTAAGAGAAATGTGGAGATTTTAGAAAACCCGATGAACCTCATTGAGGAAATTTGACCCAAGGTCCATTTTAAAAAGCTAAAAGATTTTGGAATGGCCTACAATAATGATGAGTAAAAGGTCTTTCCTATTCTTGTGTTAAAACATTTCTATTTTTGGCAATTGCGCATGAAGAATTCAGATATTTTACTCAAAAAATAAATTCAGAAATATGTTGCCGAAATCATTTTTGTACCAAATGTGAGCACATAAAATTGCTTAGTTCATATTTCAATTAAATCAAGTGTAAAATATCAAAATTTCTGTTTGTCCCTGCCATAGAATTTTTCATCAGAATTTGAAAAAAAAGTAAACCGAAATTCGGTTTTATAGAATTTGATCCAGCCTTTCCACAAACAGTGTTGTATGGGCAGTGGTGACTCAGGGAATAGAGTGCTTGTCTTCCAATGAGGTGACTTGGGTTCAAGCCCTCACCCGGACCACACCGACCACAGTGCTCACGCAAAATATCCTCAGTGGTATAGTCAGTGATCCATGGGTTAGAGTACCCTTGCCACCAGGCTAACAATGGGAGGTTTTCGTGGTTTTCATCTTCATGTAACGCAAATGAGGGTTTGTTCCTCCATCAATGCAAATTTCTTCCAGTACTTGATACAGGAGTTCCCTTGACTTCTGGATTGGGCTCAAAATTACAAGGCTACGGAATTGAACATTGGTAGTAGTAAACTCAAAATTGGGTCGACTGTTCAATATAGCGACGCACCAAGAAGCACGAAGAAGCACTGCTTTGAAATTTCGTATGCATGAATGTTTTGAACAGATATGGCTGGAATGATGCCGACTGGGGACGTATAGTCTTTAGCGACAAATCCCGCTTCCAACTGTGTCCTGACGATCATCGATGTTTGGAGACGCACAGGGCAGAGGGGGGATTCTGCCTTCACTATTGCACGCCACACCGGCCCTCAACAAGGCATTATGGTCTGGGGTGCCATTTCCTTTGACAACCGGAACCCTTTGGTCGTCATTAGAGGTACACTTACTGCACAGCGGTACGTCGACGACATCCTTAGACCTGTTTTGCTACCATTTCTTTTGCAGCTCTCTGGGCTGGTTTTTCAGCAAGGCAATGCCAGACCACATACGGCACGTGTTGCTATGAACTGTCTGCAAGCTTGTCAAACTCTTCCTTGGCCTGCCAGATCACCAGATCTCTCTCCCATCGAGCATGTCTGGGATATGATGGGAAGGCGATTGCATCTGGCACAGAGTGTTGATGACCCGTTCGACAATTGGATAGAATTTGGTAGGAAATACCGCAAGAGACCATCCAGGAGCTTAATCGGTTTATGCCACGCCGTGTAGCAGCTTGTATCCAGGCTATAGGCGGGTCAACATTTTATTGAACTTGTTGCTGTAACTCTGCAATAAATTATTCAATTGTTCTGAAATTTTAATCATTTACTATACTGTACATTGTCTTCCTATCCATCAATTTTCGTTTCAATCAGACATTTCCTTCTTGGCGCGTCGATTTTTTTCTTATAGAGTGTATATGTAAACTATTGTATGCCGTGTGCACCGATTTTTAGAAATATATCCTGATTTTAAAATCATTCATAATCTTAATAAGGATTAACGTTTAAAAGAAAACTATTTACAAAATTCTAATCATGTTATACTTACCATAATGTTGGTAAACACTGGAATCATTCGGAGCTATGAACTTGGCCTTTAAAAACCATTGTTCTGCTTCTTCAAGTCGTCCCTATAGAATAGAAAATTCGGGAATTTTTATTTAAACGAAGACAATACTATAACATAGATTTTTTTATTAATGGATATTTTAAAATTATGCTCATTGAAAGAGGTACTGACTAAATGATTATTTAAATAATGTGAATGATTTTAAAAAATAACATTAAAAATTTTGTGAATAAATTTTTTTCTTTACGTAAAAAAAATCTCGATTTCCTTTCAATCCTTAAAAAACTTTAATTTTCAGCAAAACTGTGTATTTTAAATAGTGAGTTATGAACAAAATAGTACATGCGAAGCAAGCAACAACAATGTCGTGACGCAACATTACCATAATGCATGATTCTGGCTTTTTTTGTCTTTTTTTTTTGTGTTTGAGAAAAATTATATTCTGTATAAATTCGAAACTTATGTTACTAAATTGCCATTGTTTTAAACATTTTTAAAAACCCATTAAGTTTTATGCATTGCCAAGTAACAGTATAATACATTAGATTGCTCCAGAGGCTTTAACCAAGATACCATTTGATGATCTCGTACAACATGTTGTTACAACGACAGAAAAAAAACACCATTGTTTTCTCGTTGAAGTTTTGTAAAGGGATTTTACACTTTACTCATGTACTGACAAAATTAAAAAAAAGTATTTAAAAGTGAATTATTGAACTATTTGTTGTCCGATGTGCCACATTTTGCATACAAGAAGATTCCACCTCGGAGGCTGTCACTGACGTTTACCTATTGAAGTCTTTAACATAAGCTCATCAACTCAGGTAGTGTAGTTTTGATCAACAACATTTTGCTTTTTGCAATCAATCACTCAAAATAAATGGCGCACCAGAGGTTCATGAGCGTGGTATTCGATCTGAGATGCCAGGCAGCAGAAAGACTAGCCCGTATTTTTCCTGTGGTCCCATATGCCCCCTTATTATTTAAGTTTTCATTTATTCACTCTCTAAAAAAATTCCAACTAATTTTATTTATTCCAAATTGACCAGTGATGATTTAACACTGAAAAGAGAGATACTGCGTAAGGTATTCCCTTATTCAGTTATTCCTTTATCCACTTGCTAAATAAAAGCTTTAAAATTATTCACCTTATTTAAATGGTTTCTGCAGTTGATTTTAGCAGGCTAAATAATTTTGGGATGAGTAAAATGCATGTCTTTCACAACGAACAACATATTCTAACGTGACCCTTGTGCTGTATGTGCGAAACTGAACTTTTCTATTTGCTAATCCTGTTCAATCTTTTCCTATTTACTAAACCTATTCAATTTTTTCCTACTTGCTAATCCCGTTCAACCCTTTCCTTCTTGCTAATCCTATTCAATCCGTTCCTACTTGCTTATCCTATTCAATCCTTTCCTATTTTCTAATCCTATTCAATTCCTTTCCTACTTGCTAATCCCGTTCAATCATTTTACTTACTAATCCTATTCAATCCTTTCCTATTTGCTTATCCCATTCAATCCTTTCCTATTTTCTAATCCTTTTCAATTCTTTCCTACTTGCTAATCCCATTCAATCCTTTCCCACTTGCTAATCCTATTCAATCCTTTACTATATGCTTTTCATACTCAATCTTTTCCTATTTTCTAATCCTATTCAATCCTTTCCTATTTGCGAATCCTATTCAGAACTCAAAAATGACAACCTGCGTTTGTATTTTACATACTAGCCATGAACTTTCAGATAGACAACAATTTCACCACAAGTTTTCAGGCATCCGAATTCACGGCCTAAGAAAATACTGCTCGATCCCCTCTTGAAAAACATGAAATTTTAATTATTTTAATTGAAATCTGTTTTTTTATGAAAAAAATGAACTTTGCACGTCATACGATTCGGGGAATTAACAGGAATGCAGCTTCCTAGATAAATAATATTTTCTTTACAAAAAGGAAGGAAAAGAAACTTATAACTATAGCACTAAAGAAGCTTTTTAACTCAAATTTTTACGACTTTATAAACTTTCCACGGGTTTATGAGACACATAATCAATTATTTTTTTTAATATTTTAGCACGAAACATTGAATAGTTCTAATTAAAATTTAAAAAAATAATTACAGTAATCCCAAATCAAGGACGTAAACTCATTTTCTAAAGATGATGAATATCATTTTGTTTAATATTTTTGTACTATTACTATTGAATATCTGTAACATTAAGATGTGGTAATTAATTAAGCTAAGCACATTAGAGCTTTGTTTTATTTTTATTTTATGTGTTCAATTCACTTACCCATTTAGATAGAAGTTTGGCGTATGTAAGATGTGCTGGTATGTGGTCTGGTTTAGATCTTAAAGCTTCCCGATACCAAAGTTCAGCATTCACGAAATCTCCCATCTTGAAGTAAGCTTCACCTGTAGGCATTAAAAATTCAGAAATGCTGTTACAAATTCTAATAAGACAGATACCGAATATTCTTAATATACTTAATACTTTCAAATTAAATATACTTTTTTACATTAGAAAAAATGCGACTACATCCACTATCAATTCAAGATGATTATGTTATGAGACATTCTCTATCATGTTTAAATAATGAATCACAAAAATCGTTCCTATTAACCCGAATTAAATATTTGAAATTTTTAAAAGCAATCATTGAGATTTAATCAAAGTTCTTTTGTTAAATAGTGTTTTGTTTAAACATTTTTGGGATTTTTAAGTTGAGCTATTTCGTTCCAAAGTTTTTGCTAAGATACGGAAAAAATAATTTAAATATTTCTTACCCATCATATTATAAAGAGACTGTGGCTGATAATGTTCCGGCATTTTTCTAACTGCTTCATGGTATACCCTAACAGCTGTCTGGAATTCAAAAGAAAATTTAGGTAAATTAATAGAAAAAAACTTCAATTAAAATTTTGCAAAGGCAAATTTTACATTAATAATTAAATTGTTTTACAATTCACAGAATGTGTAAATTAAACCAAATTTATCTACACGAATGTTGTAGTTTTATATGAAAAAAATAAAACGTTTAATTATGAAATCTTACTTCATATTTTCCATCATCTGCATATAACCTTCCGAGATTAAAGAGGGCTGAAATCCTTGTGCTTTCATGCATTTTTGGATCTTTAAGACCTGCACTATCTAATTCAGCACAATGTCTATACACCTGAAATTGTTTTTCAAAATCAGTTAGATGCTTAAAATGTATAATTATAAGATATATTTTTAATTTTTACCTGAAAGTTAAAAATATTCGCATTTATTTCATCTTATCTTAGCGGATAAGTTTTTTTTCCAAATACAACATAGGGAAAATTATAGTAACTAAAATTAAATGTGACCTTAAGCTTCAATATGTTATAGCGTAACCAAGCAATTTTCGCTAATCTGACTTATCTCTACATTTTTTTATTTATGTTATGCATTGCAAATTCTTGTAACTTTGTTACATTAATTAAATTATGTGCAAGTTAATTAATTGTTATAAGTTTGCTGCATCCAATACTTAACAAATAGAGGCAACATTCGCATATTTCTTTTGACAAATTAAATTATTAATTAAGCAGTTAATAGTGCAATTGTTATTCTTGAAGTATATATATTTAAATAATTTTTGTATGAGATACGAGATTGTTGTAAATTTTTTTATTTAATATCCTATCGTAAGAAATAAATCAGTTGAATTTTTAAAAAAAATTTGTTTATCTCCGTTTTGAATGATTGAGTACCTACCTCATAAACTAGGAGATCGACAAACGTAGCATTACTAATGAATGTTAATGTAAATTACCTTTTAATTTTTAATACCAGTTAATCGAATCTAATTTGGTTTATTTCATTCAATATAAATTTATACTTACGTCTGCCGCTTCTTCTTTTCTTCCCATGATTCCCAGTACAAGACCCATATTTAAATGTGCCACTAAAACAAAAGTTAAAGTATGTCAATTTTTCTTACTCATCTTCTGACTTTTAATTTTAAAAAAATCAGCTATCGGTAAGAAATTATAAGGGTAGAATAAATCTCTAATTATATGTAATTAATATTGTTTGTTTTATAATAGGGGAAGAAGGATAAGAATAAGAAAACGAACAGATTATTATAATCTACAAACGATTTATTTGATTTTGTCCCAGGAGCTGAAATTATGAATCTTGGAATTAGAAAAAAAATTGTTCTTAGAAAATACCTCAAAAATATTAACTAATTAGTGCAAACAATAATTTGGTTCTTAAAAATATACATTCAGTTAGTAAGCACACCTTAAGTTGTATAACACTCGATGCAATCCACAAAATATAAGCCTCAATAGCTTAGTCAGGATATCAGTTGAGATTTTTTATTTTTTAATTTTTGAGATGATTTTTGCGTTTCTGTCGCAAAATATGTCAAGTTAAATCGATAACAATTTCAATTGTGAAAATGGTTTAGATCATTATAACTATAGCCTAAGTAAATCAAAAAGACAAAAACGTTAATAATTTTTTTTCAACTAGTTGTGGAATCTTGAAAATAATCCAAATTAATTATTCTAATTTTAATGAAATTTTAAAATAAGAAAATTTAGTTTTATCTTGTTATAAGATCTTGCTGGCATAGTCGTTAACTAACAGAAATCATAAAAGTTAAATAAACTTAAAAAAAGTGGACAATAAATTGATAAAGTGGAGTTCAAAACACTTTTCAGAGTCTTTTACATTTATCTTGACCTTTAAAGTAACGATTTAAGGTTTACATTATTATTCTATTAAGTAAGTTAATGTTTGTAACCCTAAGTAAGCACCCGGTCTGACTATGCTTTAATATAGCTCCGATTATAACAGCTTCTTGTTTTAATGTTTTTCGAGGAAAATTTTAAAAACATATTACTTGATTTCAAATGTTCAATGAAACACATTTCAATTCTTTATTTTTTTCAAAATGAATTATAAGCTCTCTTTCCCTAAAGAAACTATTAACAAATATATTTTCAAAATATGATTGGTTCCTAACAATCTCTATTTCATGATAATAAACACGGCCTTCATTAGACTATTTATTAAAAAATATTTTCTAAGCTTCATTAATTTCTATATAAATTTTATTTACATTTAATTAATTACTAAATACATTTTCTTTAAATTTAATACACTTTATTTCAAATAAAATAACGCACATAGTCTGCGATAGATATTTTACTTTTTATTACAGGTCAAATAATTGAAGTATCAAGAAAAAAAAAGACACATGTAAGTATGTTCCGCCAGAACCGCCAGAATGGAAAACAAGAATAATTAAAACTATAAGTTATGAGTTTTTTAATGAAATTATCAGGGCAAATTAGGTTACAATTAAGAAAACATTTATAATATTATGAACTGTATCATTAAAACTTTAAAAAAATCAGCAGAAATTAACTTAAATAACATCTAATTATAAGTTATAAGCATTATATAAAAGATTTCTTTAGAGCAATAATTAGAGCTATTATATTTTATAAATAGTATCAAAAAACTGCTTATGATAGTCAGAAATTTTGATTGTTTTGGCTATCATAGACTTTTTTAATGAAGCAATGGTGCTCATTATTTTCAAAGATTCATTTGGTTTGTTTAAAAAAACTTATTACAACTGAAAGAATTGGAGGAGAGAAAAAAGAAATATTTAAATTTTAATTCAAATTTAAAAGAAAAGGCTCAGGAAACCATTAAATTGCATTAGTCATGAATTAAAGCCTTTTGTAGGAGAGGCCTGTGCTTGCAAAAACAGTTTAATCCACCTTTTTTTAAATTTGTGAGAGGCAACAAAAAATAAAAGAAAAAAAAATTTTGCGCTCAAGAATTTTTTTGGTAGTTTTGTAAAGAACCATAGTCTATAGTAGCTATTCATACACAGTTTTCATCATTAAAAATACTTCAGTTCTATGCGAATTAAAAAAAAAGTATTTCAGTTCGGCAGAGTTTTTAATCAAGAAACTATTTGTTTTAATTTTTTTTTTTTACTTTTAATAAAAAGGAACGTATAGAAAAGGAACTATAATTCTTCAAAAACTAATAAATATGTGAAGTAAAATAAAAAAAAGTTTTTTTTATTCAAAAAACAGCAACTATGGGTGCTACATAAGTTAATCTATTTTTTTGGCAATTATAAAAAATCTTTATTGTAAACTTAAAAGAATATGAGTAATTATAATAATAAAGAGAGCTTTTTATCGTCAATTCTTAAAAGACATTTTTTCTTTCTACCAAACTCCACTAACAAAGTATAAAAGAAGGAGGGGAAATTCTTAATATTCTTTTTAAATATTTTTATTTTATTTTTATGACTAATAACGTGTATCTCGACACACGTAAAATACCAGGTCGTCACCCAAGTAGATTGGCATAAATATTCACTGTAAAAAATGGATACTCAAATTTCACGAAACTCACATTTTTAAAAAAAAAAATTAAAAAAAACCTGCTTGTTTTAATATGCTCCGAGCGAAAATTTCCTCAAAGAGACGAAATAAATGTCGTAACGTCTTCGAGGAAACTATTTTTGTCGAAATTAAAGAAATATTTCTTTCGTGATTCTCTTAAAAAAAAAAGTTAACTCAAATCGTCTGATGTACCTAACTTTTCTAATAATATTTTTTTTTGGGATCCGTATAGGAGAATCAATATCATATAAACAACACAAGAAGAACAGATAGAGCATAGAAATAAATTACATTCAGACCCTAAGAGGGGTTTGAACCCAAGACCTTTCTGGTTGGAAATCAACTCCTTGACCTCTACTACAGAGTCCGATCGGTTTGCTCCGTCTCTTTGCTTTCGATGGGCTAGTCTCCTCCTACCCTTTTTTATTCTAATTTCGTCAGTCTAGTTGATAATCTCTCATAATTCACTATGATTTGGTTTCGAGATGAGGAAGCATTTTCGTCATATATTTGAGAGTTCGCGTTTCGTCACAAACTGCATGATTTTCCTACGAAATGATTCTCGAAATGAACGAAATATAGCTCAAGGATTGCTGAATGGTCCAAAGCTGAATGGTCCCTTCTAAGAGAGTAGTAGGTGTTATTGTAGATTTTTTATTGATCCTTTTCTTGACAAAATTTATACCAATACAATTCCACTATTAGCATTTTTTAAAAGTTCTCTATAGTTGTCTGATTTTTTATTTTGATAATTATCTTTGTTTTTGCATAATTTACATTAAGAGAACATTACATTAAAGCAATAATTTGCATTTATCAATTCAAACAATAATTAAAGTAAATTTTAAGAAATCTAAAAAAAAAGAAATTGCTTTGTATTAAACTACTAACTCAAAATTACTAACCATATAATTTATTACTTTATATTTTTGAAAAAAAAATCCATGCAATTTCTCAAATTTGGTGAGCGCTATTTTTTTTATCTAATAAAGTGAGAACATTATTTTTTAACTTTTCCAAAGGTTTAGTGTCGTTAAATGATGCTCTCAAATAAACGAAAATAAACTTATTAAGAACTATTTCTCCTTATCTAATAAATTGATAACTTTATTTTTCAAATTTTTAAAGGTTTAGTGATGTTGAATGATGATATGAACTAGACGAAAATCAACTAAGAACAAAAAAAAAAGAAAAGAAACCAAGTAACTAAAGGTTAAAAAAATGGAAAAAAATTGTGAATAAAAATTAATCAAATTGGATTTGAGTAAGTTAATATAAGTTGTGGCTTAAACGAAGTAGTTTATTGATATCTTAAAACCTACCTTTTTTCCACTTAGAAATTGAATTCTTATTCAAAATTTATCGTAGTATTTTTACAATAAATAATTTAAAAAAGAGAAAACTTGAGTCAATATCTATCATGGATACTTTTTCAATACAAACTTTGTTAGTTTAAGTCTTTGCTATCCATGGCCTGCGGCGTTTTACAAATTTGTATGAAAACGAAAGTAATTCAAGACTCCAAGTAAAAATATATCTAAAGCAATAAGATACAAACTATTTCGTTTTGCCACAAACCTAAACAGTCAAAACGTTTTTTTCCCTTCTTTTACTGATATAGAGTGGAACCAGAGAAAAAAAAATTACATACACTTTTAATTAAATAGTTATTTAATGTATTCTTATAAAAAATTGCAAGCTATAAGAAGTTGAGTAAAAATACACGGTTCAACTTTAATAAATTAGTTATACAGAATAATGGATTGAGTAATTGTATAGTTTATAGAAAAGAAAAACATTTGACAATGCATTTAAGTTGTTTGCTAGAACTCCGTAAAAATTTCAAATGGAGACTTTTTTACCACGTTTTCATACAAAATAAGAATTATTTAAAATAAAACTTACCTTCAATCAGACTAAAACTCTCCTTATGAATTAAAAGATATTAGTTATCAAATTTTATCATTAAATTAGGTAAATGATTTCATATAAAATAAATAATGAGTATTAAGTATGGGATGTTGTTTCTTTACATGCTTTCAAAAATTCAACTATTAGCTTTTTTAATTATCATTTCACAAAATTTATAGTAAATTTTAAAAGCTACCCGTTATATTCACAGCAAAATAAGTATTTTTAATTGTAAAATGAGTGATCATCACATCTATAGAATAAATTTCATTTTAGAGAATTAAAAAAAAAAGAAATATTTATTTTCAGTGTGTAAATATCATTAAATAAATTATTACAGTGGTATTAAAAAACAATAAATAAGTGATATTTATTTCACAAATTAAAACATTTAGGAAGAAATGTTTTTTTTTTCGCTTTATTTATGTATTTTTTATTTGATCAGAATTCAATTAAAATCTGATGTATAAAAATATGACAAAAGGTGATCATTAGAATTATAGAAATATTATTGGATGGTTCTTGCTACACTAGAGGGCACTGCAAGTTCTTTATTGCATATACTTCCCTGTTACTGTTTCCGCTATATTTTGAAGCCATTTGGCTCAATATTTTGAAGCCATTTGGCTAGTATTTCTTGCATACTTGTATTTTGAACCTGATTTATTATTTGCGTTTAAAAAAAGAATCGTCATTTGAAAAAAAAAATCGTTATAAAACTCTTCTAACCTTGTCAACAATATAGCAACTTAGAAATTTAAACCTTAATGATGATTTGTAAAATGATTTTAATTTCACTGCTTGAACATTACGCTAACACTAACGCATGATGGTGCACGGCTTGCAGCAAGAACAAACAGTAATAAACAAGTAAAAAAGAGCCAAATCAGAACAGCCAAGAGAGCGAGTTCTTTCTAAATATAACAACCATGTCACCTTTTTTTCAACAATACATCCATTAATATTTTAAACAATTTTTCCCTTCAAACTTACCAGAATTACTTAATATCATTAATATCTTATGAAATGCAACAGATCTGAGCTCAAAAATTATATAATTTATTTCTTTTATTAAGAACAAAATTATCTATTCGAAAATATCGCACAGCAGAATACGCTGTAATAACCAGCTGTATACTTTCTAACCAGAAGTAGAGCGGGTCAAGAGCTCGAAATTGTTGTTGTTTACATTTATTTTGAAAACACCATCCATGAGGAAGCATGATATTTAAAAACAATTCTCAGTTTTGAAGTATTCAAACTTATTTTGCTTCTTTTATCAAACGTTTATATAATATAAAACAACTCACTTGCCAAACGTGGTCTAAACTGAATTGCCAGTTTATAACTGTAAAGTGCTTCTTCATACCTTCCTTGTTCTTGAAGAAGTATCCCTCTAAATATAAAAAATGCATAACAGAAATCAAAACTAGGTTATATATCGTTCCCTATATCTTTATACCACCAATTAAGTCATATTAAACTAAAAAAATTTTTGGCATTTTAAGATAGTTTAATGGCTATCTAGATAATATTTTTTCTTTCACATTAATCAAGTATGCAAAAAAAAAAATTAAAATATGAACTTAAAAGTAGTTAAGTGACTGATTTATTTCTCATTGGCTTTAAATATCACGCACTCTGCAGCTTAAGAAAGTGGGAGAACAACTTAAAAATGAGGAAAAGACTGAGAAAAAGATCCGAAAATGAAAACACGCATAAGTCAATTGCTTGCAAAAAATAAAATATTCAAAAAAATACTGCTATTCTATCAATTCAATTATTAAAGCAATATCGTCGGAACAGTATCTAAGAAATAATTTCACTATATCTTCAATAATAATTACAATAAATAAAAGTCCTGGCATTATTATTTTTCCCTATTCATACTAATACAACTCAGTTGACACAAGTGTTAATTTTTTTTTTAAATTCAAATAAAACGAATGACCACGATGACTGTAATTCGAGTTCATTCATTACACTGAGGACAATTTTTTTTCGTTTTCTGTTGCATAAGAATTTGAATAGATCTTATCAACTTTTGAATCGCTGATTTAGAAATTTCAATCAGTTTCTCTCTCCTAGCAACATTTTTTTAATGACATTTTTAGTCTATTTTCAGTCAAAATATACAAGTTTAAAAATGTTATATACAACAAGGGGGAGCATAAATGGTGCGAGAAACTTTTAGAGGAGGAAGGGCACATCATAAGTATTAAAATTTCATAGGAACACATGCCTGAATATGTCGTCATAAGCTGCTAGACGCGATTCTCAATTATTATGAACAGTTTTTTCGCGTGCTTCTGAGCAGATCATAGTGGGGAAAGTGCCTCTAGCCGCATATGCCGACTTATAATGGTATGGGCTCATATGCAATTTTAATCTTGATGATGCGCGTTAATTCCCCTACAAGTTTATCGCTACATTTATGCCATCCCTTTGTTATATAAAGTGTTTTTAAACTTGTGCATTTTGACGAAAAATAGACTAAGAAGGCCATTTAAAAAAATCTGTATCTTTTGGGAAGAAAACTAATTTTAAATTTGAAATCCTCACACCCGAATTAGGCGAAATCAAGCATTTGTATAAATGCAACAAAAAATTTGCTCCCAGTGTATCCCCATTTTACTTATATTTTTATCAAATACTTCATTTAGAAACATGCTAATTTCTCTATCATCTATAAGATTAAAGAGCAGAGTTAAACCTTAAACCTATTACCATGAATTCAACAAAAAAATTCGTTATGATACCCATAAGAGAATAAAAATATAGCAATTTAAAGAATAAAATACTTTTAAAGATTGAAGAAGGATCTTTAATGTTGAAGTACTTACAAATTGTAACGAACATCTGCCATATTTGAGCGATAAGTGAGAGCTTTTTTATAGGCCCATTCCGCTTCTTCCTTCTCTCCACGCCCACTTAAAATATTAGCCAAATTTCCATAAGCTGAAAATATAAAATTATAAATTAATATTAAAAAGAGATGCATATTTTTTATTAACTTATGTATTTGCTTCCTAAAGTGAGAGAAATTAACACAATACATGTCTGTTTTAAATTTGTTAATCACCTATAAATTCATAAATAATTCTTTTCATTTTTTGAATGTAATATATTGATGGCTTAATTAGTGTTTCTCAAAATGAATTCAACTTCTTCCTTCATTAATTTAAAAATTATGAAGTTTATGAATAAGTAAAGATTATTTGTTACAGTTTTTTTTCGCTTTAATACTCAAACATAAATTGATAAATAGGTATGATAAATTAGGAGCTGAATAAATTTAAAAGGCAAAAAAATCGTCTAAATTTTATGAAAATTTATTTAACCAAATGCCAATGATGAATAAATAAAACACCGCATTTTTTTTTAATTTCTGGTTTTAAAAAGTAATTAAGTCTTGTTTTAAGGAAAGGTAAAATGGTCAGCAGTTTTACTTTTCTTTAAAACTTTACAATTGAGCCTTCAAAGCTACGAACTGAAAATATCCGATCACATAATCTTGTGTGAAAGCATCACTACTAGACATACTCGTTCCAATGATGCAACTCTTTATCATCTACATTTTATAACTATTTTCATTTTATATTTTAGTTTACCATGTTAATAGACAGTCAATCAATGCATACGGCTTTGGACTTTTAAGTTTTTTCCATAACCTCATCGTTTTAAACTAAATATGGAGTCCATGGCGTAAGGAATCCTCACGGAGAAAAAATAAATTCTGGTAAAATAACAAACACTACTCATATGTTAATAACATTTCTGGTTAAAAAAAAAACTAATATATTGGTAATAATAATTTGGTAATAAAACTAAATAATAATAATTTGGTAATAAAACTAAAATATACAGCATTTGACTCATTCATTTGGTAATTTTTTTGTTTAGATCGCAACGGTTTACTGAAAACTCTGGTTTTCAAAATCATAACTCTTATTACCACACATTTAGTAAAAATACATAATTAAAAAGTAAATTTAACCGAATAAATGGTTTTTTGCCATGCTCTAAGGAAACATGAAAAAGCTACCAAATTTTACCACGCTTACTATCGAACTTGTCGATAATAAAGCGATATTGTAATGTTGATTTTAGCAAAATTCATTACCATAGTGGTCAAAATTATCGTGTTTTCTTGTGTTTCCATAGATTCAGAGGCATGATGAATTTTATCATATTCTGGTAGTTTTAACTTTTTTTTCTCAGTGCTGGATCACTTCTTGTATAGAACTGGGGATTCAACCGAGATTCTTCACTCTTTTAACTGCATTATAATTAATCCGCGTACGCGGAATAAAAATTTTTTACGACTAAAATAAAACCTTAAAATAAACCTTAAAATAAAATAAGGAAATATATTTCCGTAATTGTAATTATTGTTTTAAAAGCTATGAGTAAGTTTCTTTTTCTGCATATTAGTAAAAAATGCACTTTAATAAAATCTTCAAACTCCTTCATTGCTTCAATGGCTTACTTAGAGTCCAGCGAGTGCAATTTCTATCAATAAACCAGAAAAATTCATACTCTTTTAATACATCCTTTTATTGATATTTGTTTGGACCGATCTATCTCTTCCATTTAATATCAGGGTTAGTAACATGGGTACAACTCATTAAAAATAAATATGCCTAAGCTTAAGGAGAGTTAATATTGGGATATTGCTTCGATATTAATGCTTGTTGCAAGTCTTAAATATATATAAAATGGATAAAGAGTATCCGACTGTCTCTTTTAAAATCCTTTAATAACTTTAAAATGAAAGTAATTAATTTTGAAACAACGCCATTAAAGGATAAATGTTCTTGCATTACTGATACGATGGTATTAACATTACATTACTGAAATTGCAAAAATACGCTGCACTTATTTTTCATGCAATTTCATTTTTATAAGCTTTGGAGTTGATAGATAAGAAACTAAATTGATATTTAATTTAATCTTTATGCGATGAAAGGAATATTTAGCTAACCATTATATAAAAAGTAGCTCAAAAGTAATTGATTTTACTTATTATTTTAATTAAATGACTTTAAAAAAAGCTTAAATGCATTGTTTTGCCAGTCTCTGAAACTAAGAAAAGTAATAAACTGAAAACTATAGATTTTCAAAAGGACCTGAATTAGAATAAAAGTTGCGTGCAGTGAGCAAAATAAAAAACTGACCAGCCTAAATAACTTTTGATCTAATGATCAGATATTTTACAGGATTTTAATGAATGCAATTTTACATGGTAAAATACAAAGTTTGAGCGAAATTGGATGAACAGTTTCTGAAAAATTCAGCTTTAAAAAAGTCATGCTTTTCAAATTTGATTTCTAAGGAAGTATTGAACCGATTTCGCTTAAATTTTGTATTTTGCCAAGTAAAATTACATTATTTACAAAGATGCAAAATTTTGTATACCTTACAATTAAAAAATTTTTCAACTATTATTAAATAAAGTAATATAAATTAATAAATATTTAGTAAAAATTATTTTTTGCACGAAATTATCTTTGGATAAAAGAATTTTCTAACTGTGCGCAAAAAGTTTTCAATTCACTTCCCAGATTGCGGCTACCCTCCTATATTTTGGAAGTCAGAAATCCGCATCCGTCGAAAAAAATGTATGTTTATTCAGAGAAAATATGTTTTTGTGTTTGAGTTCTTAACTTAAAATATTGTCTGCACTGACTAATTAGCTGTTATAGTTCATTTGAGTCGCACTAGAGCTGCACAATGGGCTATTGGCGACGGTCTGGGAAGCATCCCTGAGGATGATCCGAAGACATGCCATCGCAATTTTGATTCTTTGCAGAGAGGATGGCACCCCCGCATCGGTAGCCCGATAACCTCTGACTAATTAGCATAGTTGATCTCCCACTCTAATCATTAAGATTGAGTCCTCGAATGTGAAGGTCCAATCATTAGATCTAAAATTAGTCAGGATGGTCAGATTTTTATTTTGCGCACCGTACATAATAAGTTGCAATTATACTATGATATAACAGCATATATTACACATATATTACGCATGTACTTAGTAGTAAATCTCACAAAAATGTGACAGCCTGTACGAAAATTGAGATGCCTTCTAATATCTACTATTTGATTTGTAAGTCAGAAAAAATTATTTCAAACAAAGATTATATATTCATAGTATTATAGTGAATGCATGATGATTATAATAAAAGCGAACATGACTAAAATTTAAATTGTATTAAATACTAAAAAATAAAAATAAAGATTAAAATTACCTTTAGGTGGATTAACTGGTATTCCTGATCTATAAAGATTCTCTTCATTAAGCCAATCTTTGTTTCTAATAATCGTTCTTGCCGACAAAACAAGCATAAGAATGCTGACTCCAACTAGAACCAGTTTCTTTCTTAAGGATGATTCTTGCCTTCTGTAGATATTATCTATTCCTTGCGCAACTAATAAACAAAAACCCATACTTGGAATGTACAGCACTCTTTCTGCCACAACAAATCCAACATAGAAAAATAAATTCGTAGCAGGTATGAATGGAAGAATAAGTAATGCCAGCGACAAAGTCACGAGATCAGCTGGGCCAGTAAAAGCTGACCTAGTTGATAAAGCGTGGATATGATTAAATCCTTCATACCATCCATCATTAATTTGACCCATTCCATTATGACCATTAGAGTGGTAGCCATTTCCGTTCGATATTCTATGCCCATTGGTGTATGAATGATGACCATTGCTTGAATATTTTCCACGTGATTTGTGGTGTGAGTTGTTGGATGCTAAAGTATAAGCAATTTTTTGTGTTAGATTGACGCAAGGACACTGTCCTGTGGAATCTCCGTTAGCTGAAACTGTACAATGCGGAGATGTCATGTGATGGTAACTTCCACCATTAACCATTGACCAGCAAGAGGCACTGTACTGACAACGCTTATTGTATGCTTTTACTAGCCAGAAAAGTAAAGTTATTAAGCTTCCATAAAATGCAATGCTGAAGATATTGCGAACGTCCCAAATTGTTGTTAGAAGAGGAATGGCTTCCATTGACCAGTCAAAACTCAGCCACCGTGGAAAAAGCAACATCCAGAAATTGAAAGCGGGTAAAAATAAGAAAGTTAGTGTTCGAGTCAGTAAACTGTCACTGTCAGCTGCAGGGTTATCAGCAGGGGCAAAATCAGGTGCTTTGCTGCCCATTAAATGCAATCTTAAGCCCAGCAATGTAATCCCTGCTGCAAATAAATGCAGCAAACCTTCTCGCATACTTTGGTACCGTTTCTATAATAAAAGAAACAAAACAATATGTTATAATAATAAAATTATCAACTCACTTTCGAACTATTTCATTTAGATTGTGCTTTGTGTTTTCATTACATACAATTTAATAAAAGATTAATAAAGTTGCATATAAATTTCAAAGCATACTGTACACCATTTTATAATGAAGGACGCGCTTACTTTGCAATAAATGAGGATATGCTTCGGAATTCATAAGTTCTTTTCGTATTTTTTAAAAAAAATCAAGTTGAAAAAAGAAATATTTAGTTGATCGAAGTATATTAGGTAGAATGGATACTGCATAAAAAGTTATAGGGATATATTGCATTTTAAATATGGTTAATTTAAAATACGTGGAACAATTGATTGCTAATTATTTTAACTTCGAATGCATTAGATAAAATGCATTCATACGTATAAACTAACTAAACTATTGAAGCCATATTTCCAAATTCCTGCAAGTGATTACCTTTCATATTTTAATGGTCAAATCATCGTAAAAAAGTATTTTTATTCAGGGGAAATATGCTTTTGTATGATTTCGTAACTAAATTAAATGTTAGTATTAAATACTGAGCCTATTTCAGGTTAACCCTTTAAGCTATTAAGACTAGCATTTATTGCATAAAAATTTGATTTAGTGAACTTAAAATATTTAGGGTACCTTTTTTTGGCAATTGCTTAAAAAGTTTGAACGATATTAACTTAATCTAAAAGAGTTACATATAAAATTGAATAAATTTTGTGGCAGTGTAGATTATCCACCCAATATTTATCTCAATAAGCTTTTTTAAAAAAATCATTTCTTATCAGTTAAATGGGGTAATATAATAATAACAAATATCAATACCTGAAATTTGGTTTAAGGCTTTAGTTCATTGCCTAAACGCAATTAATAAAATATACAAATGCCCAGACTCTAGAAATTTTGCCTTAAATATTTCATAAATAAAATTCTTTTGCTTTTTATTCAACAGAGACTTTTAAATGTAATGTGATTTTTAATGCATTATATATTATTAAAGTTATAAAACAACCGATTTTTTAAGTTTGATTCTTAGAAAAATGCATAAATTTTAAATTTTTGTTGATTGTATGAAAAACATAATTATTTTTCCCAATATGCTGAAAATACTAAATAAATAAAATAAATCATTGTGAAAGTAAGAAATATATTTTTAAAGTGATTTAATTAACGAAGAATATTTTAAATTTAAATGCGAAACCAGTTACAAAATAAAAATTACTTTGTCGTTTTCCAATTCCTCATCGAGTATTTAGGGAATACACTCGAAATTATATTGAATATATTTCCGAGAATATATAAATTTTTAATGATTTTGCTATTTTAAGGCAATGTAGTCTTAATTTCACTCTGAGATTATCATAAACTTCAATAATTACATATTTCAATAATTATTTTTTAAGAACTCTACGATTGCAATTAGTAAAAGCAATTAAATTGCGTAAAATGCTTTAAGGAATTTACGTTTAATTTGAAGTAATTATTAATTAATATGAGCTTGTGTGCAGAAAACATGATTGATACCTTAAGGGATTTTACTTGTTATAATTGCATTCTTTTACTGGAGACACATTGTTTAAAAATACAATTCGTGTATAAATATAAGATTGGGAAATTAGGCTTTTAAAACAAATGTGTTTAACGAAGCAATCCTAAATTAGATGAATAAAAATGAAAAACACTATAATGCAAATTTAAAACACGTGACTCTTTGAATAGAGAGTCAGATTTGGCTTTGAAAGAATTAAAATATATTTCTCCAATCTCATAACCATATACACGTTTGACCAGATTTGATAGCCATTTTACCAACCTCGAGTATGGTGGAACTTGATAACTTTTGTTTGAATGATCAGATTTGCATGTGCTAATATGTAATCTCAATGAGTCAAGGGTCTAACCTGAATTTATTTGTGCAGATTATACTTATAAAATTAAAAAATCTGCCACGAAAAGTTATTATCTCTGAATTTCAAAGATATAACTGAATAAATAAAAGTAAAATAAACATTGACGATCTCCTGGCTTTTCTATTGCAAATATACTTTTCAGGTGCCGACCCACATGTATGAGGACCTTTCTGACCTGGGGTCAGGGAGCTGACCTCATGTCAAAAAGGTCCCGGGTTCGAATCTCGCTCAGAGACATGGCTGTTCTTTCCTTTTCTCTGCACGAATGTGGGGGTAACGTTGGCAAGCCTAATATGGTGCCTTCTGAAAGTAGGCCAACACAATTTACCTTCTAATGCTCAAATGACGAATGTCAATGCAAAAGAAGGTAATTGAAAAAAAAGAAGATGTTGTTCAGTTTGTGGTTGAGAGTCAAGCATTCAAATCAGTCGAAGAAGTATGCTTACTCAGCGAAAGAACGCTTGTGACTCTTATTTTGTAATTTAAAATATCATCTGCCCAAATCAACTTGCATATTTATGACTTAATCATTGAAACATTAAAACGTCACCTTCCTTTGTGGAAATCCGATCAGAAAATCGAAAGTTATTAAGGTTATTTTTTTGAGCACTATTCATACATAATGAAATTTTCAGACTTAATTGAAAAACATTATGTCTGGAGACGAATTTGTTCAAGCTTTCTTAGATGCTTAACGTTCGATGGGCTAGAATTACATTCAGAATAGTTTAAGTCATGTTCAGAGATACTAACCTGAAGTTACTTTATTGATGTTTTCATAGATATTTTTCGTCAGTTTTTCACAGTAATGGACATAAGTTTACGTATCAGTATTAAAACTCAAAATGAAACATTTAACTGTTGTTGAAGTTAATTTCTCCCAAAATTTAAACGAGCTAACACAAATTATATTCTACACGATGCTTCCTTGAACAAGGATGAACATTCAAAGCTTATACAAGTACAAAAACGATTGTTCCTGCATCAGAAAAGTAACTCATTTTGACGAGATTTTTTTTCCTAAATTTAAAAAGGAAAAAATTAAAACGTTGTTAAAATTAAAGGTATGCTCACAAAGTAAAAGAAAAGAAGTGCTGAAAACAAAGGTAAAAAAATGGAGAATTTATACAATTAAAAGTGATTTTGTAATTCTGTAGAACGAATTGAAAGCCGGAACATTTATGGAGAATCCGAATTAGATGGTATGCTCTTTATCTAAACAAAAGATGATTTTTAAAGAGAAGGAAACTATTGGTTAGCATTTGTAGTAAATGCAAACCGACAAACAGTTTGTTTATTTTGAAAGCAACATGATATTAATAAAAAAATAATCTTTTTTTTTCAAAAGGGTAATAATAGCCCAGCAGTCAAGATCATGACTATGAGAACAATGAATGCTTTTTCCTTTGAGATAGGACAGGATTATTAACACATTATTTTTTAGAAGCAAAAACTTATCTCAAATTTTTCAATGACAATAAAAAAAATTTTTTAAAGAAAAAACGATTTACTATGTTTTGATAAATCCTACTTCTTTAAAAAAAAATAGAATAAATTTGAGTCGCTTATCTGCATTTTTTTCAAAAAAAATTTCACATTATGTATCAAGAATAATTACAACAAAATTACTTTTCTGCTTTTTCAGAATTAAATATTAATTCTAGTTACATAAAATGTGTAACATCTAATGAAATGCTTCTCGCAACTTACAGATTCTATTTCACGTGAAATCTTATTTTTCCGTTAATTATGGAAGCATAGCAACCATTTTCTCTTTAGCGTTCTTTTTTTTTTTTTGCAATTGTCTTCTTTTCACATCTTAGTAATCTCATCCTAGCAATTAACAGCGATCAAGATATGTTCCCTTTCTACTAAAATCCCAAGATTATGAAGATCCCTAGTGACTTTGTCGCATAGTTAGCTATAAGAAATTAAAATCTTAATTATCTCTCCTTTATTAGCATATTTTTTTGGAAAATTGTTTTTGCTATAATTACTTTAGGAATATGTACTGAATTTAGGAATATCTACTGAATTAGTTGAAAAGAACATTTTATGCACGTAAAATTCTCTTAAGATTTAATGAAAAAAGAGTAACAAAATATGTTGAATTTATCTCGGATCAAACCTTCGAAGGATGGTGCTCAGTTTTACATGTTCTTTCTTTAATTTTAGAACAAAATCAAGACTTTATTTCTCAGTTTCTTTTAAGAAATATGAAGAAAGTTCCCAAATACCAGGCAACTTTGCGACAAACGTTGTATCTTCATTTGGTTGACATTGAAAGGTTGACTAATTAATCCTTTTTTAACATAGTAAAAATATTAGTATGCCAAGCTTGTTTCCTTTAAGACTGAAAGAAGGCATGCTAAAAACGTAACAAAAAAAAATATTTTTTAAAAATTTCACTGTAAACTTTGTTTTTGCCTTTTCTTCATTCTAGCTTTGTCCAGGATTTTAAATGCAACATTTTGTTAGCGTTGAATATTTAATGATCAAGCCAACTTTCGCTTAAAGAAAGTATATAAATGCCTGCGCAAATAAATCTTGATGACCATAAAATCTAAAATAAACCTTGAGAAGGCGAATTGATTATTTGTTTGAAAACGCTTTCTACTCTTGATTTGTGAAAGATGATTCATTCTCAATTTCAGAGGATTTTTCCAGACTTGTTTTATTAAGACAGATTTTCTAAGGCTTCCTATATTACTCATTTAAATAGAGAGTTTATGGTATAATATGTAAATAGAGAGTTAATAGTATGATATCTAAGCAGAGAGTATATAGTAATTTCGAGTATATATAAATGTATGCTCGAGAGAAAAATTCTTTGGTCAATGACTAGTCTGGGATAAAATAATACCAAAATAGCTGTTTTTGGATAAATAATATAGGTCAGAAAGTATGTTGCTCATTTTTTAAGACACATTTTTTTTTAAAAAAGCTATCAAAGTTTGGTGAAGACTCAAAATAAGTGATTTTCAACATACACAGATAATAAATTCTGGAAAATTACTGAACTCCATAGCAATGATATTGCCTGTAAAAAAAGCCATAATTTTGATTGTAAAACTAAAATGCACGGTATTTAAATCGATAGTTTGGTAATTTTTCCTTTCTTATGGTAATGGTTATCAATTAGTGTTCTCATTAAGCCTTAGCAAAAATTACGAAATTGAAAAGTATATATAACCAAATTAATGATTTTTATGCTATGTTCTAAGATATCATGACAAAATTATCAAATTTTACCACATATACCATATTTTATCACAGATTATAAAACCATATTTATTGTTAAATTCACCAGTATCATTACCAAAGTACTTCGGTTAAAATTACCAAGTTAATGGTGTTCCCATAAGGCTAGAAACAAGGTAAATTTTATCATATTCTGACAATTTTGACCATACTTTTGTCTCAGTGAGCATAAATTTTTGCTGCCATTTAAAGCTTCAACACTTTAGTAAGTTGTTACATAAAACTCTGTACAACTGTATTAGTCAAGGAGTATTTCACGATATTATTGTCCAATATGTACGAAAACCATATACGAAAACCAATATGTTAAATTTTTGTAGCAAATTATGGTTTAGGCCGATATATATCACAAAATTATAGTACAGATATTACTGTAGTATTTCAAGAAACGAAATAAAATGAGAAACTTACCTGAAATGGCACCTGTATAAGCTCTTTCAAAGGTACCCTTTGATGTATAAAGAGTTCATATGTTACGCAGACACCAAGGACAGTGACTCCGTGTTCTTTTGTTAGCATAGATAATGCTGCACAGATCAATGAAGAATATAGAAAAAACCAACGGCGTGTGCATAGTTCTGAACAACTTCTATATTCACAGTATTTTATATAAAGCATGAGACAAATCAAAAAGAAGAGACAAGCTCCAACGTCTGCTCTTCCAACAATGCCTGCTACCGCTTCTGTATGAATAGGATGAGCAGCAAACAGTAAACCAGCCACCACAGTTGGTACAGGATTTTTGAAAAACAACGACGAAGCAAGCTTAGTAAATAGTATTGATACGAGAGCGTGTAAGAGTACATTAATGAGGTGGTAACCCCATGGATCGAATCCACCTAACCAATGATTCAAGCGAAATGTTAGGACACATAATGGCCTGTAAGATTTATGAGATCCACTGTGTGTTAAAGGAGTGCCCCAGAAGTCGTTCTTGAACAGAGAGGAGAAAGGCGTTGTAGGCAGTAGGTCTTGATTTGTCTTGATGGCTCGGCTAGAAAAAAAAAACATTTGTTCAAAAAGTTAAATACTTAGGCTTATAACGTTTACACGTTAATTTAAACAAATTTAGTTCATAAAGTGCTGATAGCAAAAATGTTGGAAGAGATATGCTGTCACACATTTCTTGTCTGTCATCATGAAAGCTTTTATTTTATTTTATAACCGGAGATGAATAGAGATCCGATTCTGAGTTTAAGCCTATCAGTATTCAACTCCATAGCCTTGTAATTTTGAGCCCAACCAAAAGTCGAGGGAACTCCTGGATCAAGCATTGGGACAGACTAGCTTTCATGACGGACTTTTTTATGGAAGTTATCCGCATTTTTGTTACGTGGAGAGGAAAATTACGAAATGTTACGTGGAGTGATATTATATCTAGGTTGATTATTAACATTATTTCACTTTAGTGAAAACCACTGGTATCAGAATTGTAGTTGTTTGCAAAAAAATACTCTTATGTTAACGCTTAAATTTTGAATTAATTCTGGAGTTATTAAATAGTTTTTTTTAAAAGACATTTCGGTATAAAGGGAAAATTAATTGCTATGAAACTATAATTTCTTGGAGTCAAAGCTTGCTTATGCTTAAGAGTCGATATCTTCTTTTAATTTTTAAATAGTTTTGGGAGTTATTTAATTCAAATGCAAAAAATTAAAGTGTTTTTGAGGTTGTTTTGAGATTTCAAGGTTGATTTTAAGTTTATTTTAAATATGTTGATTTCAAAAACTAAGTTGACTGAAGTTGACTTCAAAAACAAACATAAAAGATCAAACTCCTAAGGAAGTTGTTTCATTCACTCTTGAGGTTGTTTGTCAGCCAAGGGAAATCTAGTTTAGAGCAGCCAGCTTTAGAGTGGTTCTTTTTGACATATACGTGTTTTTTTTTTCTGCATTTCAAGCAAATAAGTATATTTGAGGTGTGAATAATTTCACCCAATCTCAACCAAAAGTATTGTGAAGTTCTATATGAGGTTGATTTTATGAGGTGTAAATAAAGTTTAAATTGAGGTTTATTATTGAGGCTATTTTGGTACAAAACACAACCTCATTTTCTTCCTATGTGTATTTTTTTACAAGTGCCAACCTCAAAACAATCTCAAAAACACCTTATTTTTTTATAAGAGTTGCGTTGTTAGTGAGAGTAAGTGAGTAGAGTTAAAGATTCTAGTGTATGTAATATTTTTTTAATCAACATCTTATATTCGTTATGGTGTTTTCTAAATCGTTCTTTGACAGTTAGTAAGAAATTTCAATGTCTAAACATATACGAGCTATACATATTTCAATTATTACATGGTGATAATTATTGTTTCCTTTTACATTGTAAAAGAAGTAACCCCTATTATTTCCACCTAAACTCATTCAGTAATATATTTCATAAATAAAAGAGCACGGTAACTTTCTACATAGATTGAATTCCAAGAAATAGAAACAGAAATAGATATTCTAAGACTAAAAGCAAAGAAGGGGTGAAATCACATGAAAAGTAATTGTAACTCAGATCACGAAGTTCCGGTATAAAGTGTTCTGTTCGTTACTTCAGGCTGAGGAGCAAGCAGAAGAAAAGTATCAATATACTCATTGTCAAAAAAAGTCACGCACATCCATATTATTTCTATAGAGACTGAGTATCTTTCGTAAGCGAGTCATAGGAAAGGGCTATATTTGGCGAAATATATATAAAGATCATCAGAAGTCCTACCAGAAAATGACCATTATATCAGTTTGTAAAATTTAATTCGGGGAAAAAGACGTGAAGGTAATCAAATGTTGTAAGCATACCAACAATTTTAGAAAAAATAAGTTTTGGCTTCTAAAAACTAATTAAATTTTCTTTTTGGGATTTATTCCCGCAGCGTCACTACTGAATTGGTTGGAGTTCAAACAATTCCTTTTTCACACTTTTATCTTATACATTGTAAAAAAAATCCAATTCAAATAATGGTAAAAAGTACAAATTTTAAGGTACAAAATAAAGAATACGGATGAAAATACGGATTTTAGAGTAAAAATTACCTGCACTTAGGGTGCCGGTACTTTTTTCCGTAAAATCCATTTTTTCCGGTGCAATTATAGAACAAAAAATCTGATAAACCGTAATTTTTACAGTTATAATTTCCGTAAAAATTACTCAATCGCTCTAATTAAATAAATATTACTGTAAAATTTACGGTGCAATATCTTACAGTAAAATAGATTTTATGGAGATGTACCCAAATGAATTCTGAATTTTTTAGAGTGTATGCGCAGCTATTCTAAAAAGAAAACATAATTTAACGAAAAGTTGAAATTTTAAAGGTGTTAAAAATAATAAACAGCTGCAAGATGAGTTAATGTAAAGTCCGAAAAAAATGCGCTTTTAAATAATAATTACAGCATAAATTTCGCTAATGTACATATATACAAAACCTGTCAACTCTTCTGGATCTTCTGGAAAATGCTATTTTTAAAATCAATCTCGCAGCCACTTTCATGCATTCAAACTGGATTTTTGTGTTTATAAATTTGACTTAAAATGGTTTTGACTATCGTTATGTTTAAATAGTTTAAACATATATATTGAAAATCTACTACTCATCATTGCGTGTCTTGATGAAGGAGCAAAATGTCAATGAAATGTTTGCTTACAATACCAATTCAAATTTCGTTTCATTACCCTTTGGTCTTTGAAGAGCGTAAAAATTGACAGATATGATCTACATATATAAGTGTAAAAACAAATTAAGTTTAAACGAATTTTTAATTGCCAAAGCATATTAACATTTCTTTCGAGATCTGGACAACGATACCATCTCATACATTTTTTATGGCAAAATAGTTTAGACAAGCCTTGAGCATTTTAGTTAGGTTTATAAAATTTTTTGAATGATTGATCAGATTTTGAAATAGATAAAAAAAAAAATTTTAATATGACCTTTTAAAGTACTCATTTAAAACACCTAGCCCATAAAATTTATGACTGTAAAAACTGTGTTTTACTCTACCAATGGATCTTCCTGCTGAATGAAGTCTAACAATACCAGAATATAGGCAGCTTTCCAAAACTATTAAACATACACTCTAAAAAAGAGTTTCTCAAAATTGAGCAAAAATGTGACAAAATATCCCCGATACAAATGTATACCAATTTGAAAACCCTATGCATTCAAAATTGAAACAGCGTATACTAATGTTTGAGAAAAATGCGTAGTCTCAAAAGTGATATTGAAGAAAAAATGTCATTTTGCTGCCGAAAGTATTCAAACCAAGGATCTCCGGGATCGTAGAAGGATGCTCTACCAAAGAATATATAAGTGAGTTGTATATTCTCACATTATATATTCTTTGACTCTACTACCATTTTAGATGTAACCCTAGTTTAGGGACAGTAAGGGAGCTTCATGTACTGGCTGCATCATGCCATACTAATTTCTAATTTCAATAATACAAATGGTTGCAAATAGGAAAATATGGTCCAATTAGCTTATTCAGGAGACCGGTAATTTGAATTTTACTTTTTGCTTATTTCGCTACATCTTAATACATTTTTAAAGAGTGTCATGTACGTCATGATGTGTCATTGTGGCTACAACTACATAAAGCTTCCTAACTCTCCTTTTACAAGTTGTTTGAGAATCATACGACGACCCCTGGGGTACTGTCGGCAGCAAACGAACATGTCTCTCTCTCTCTCTCTCTCACACACACACATATATATATATATATATACTATAACAAAAAAATCGACGCACCAAGAAGG